AAAATGTGATTTTGAGATTTAGTATTTCTCTCGATCGCATCGAAACTTAAGCCTTCAGTATTTTTTCAAACTTGAATAACATACGGACGTTGCGTCCGTCATGAATGGCTTAACAATCGGAGTTTAAGATGCAGCTAGAGCGGTGTGTTGCGAGAAGAACTATATCTTCAACATGTTTTGTCTATTTTAAGGTAGCTAACATGCCGATCCCTAAATACGTCGATGGTTTTTTCCTGTTTCTAGGTTAAGCCCGACAGTGTGGAACCTGCATGCCTAAAGTGTAGGAGCTGAACATTTCTCAACTGGTAGTTCCGCGTAGAATTTACTGGTCCGTTTTAAAAACATTAAAGAAAATATTTTCCAACAGCAACCTATTATCATCTTAGTCGATTCTTGCATATTTTTTCGTCATCTGCATATTTCGCAAATACCAGTAAATTTAATATGTACATTATTAAACCAATACATAAAGTGTGCATAAGAGGTCCTAGAATGGTACCTTAAGAACAACCCGAGCTGGTTCTAACAGTATCTGGGTATTTCCCGTTGACTCTGCCGTGGACAGTACAGTCGCTGAAAAAACCTTGAGTTCGCTTGTCAGTCGATCACAAACCTGATATGTGGAAGCATCTTGAAAAGTTTGCAATGAGTAAACCGTTAGAACACTGCTACGAAGTCCAAGTATCCTACTTCGAAAGTGTGGGGCATGTTGATGAACTCTACCCATTAGAGTTGTGTTTCCACTAGCTGCAGCTTGATAATTCGTGCCGGTCTATAGATGAACTCAGTATGAAATGTCAACCCTTACTCGTTAGAAGTTTCGTATATGGCTGTACAAAGAATGCTTTCTAACATTTTCCATGTCTACTACTGTTAGTCATGCTGGTTGATGATAGGCTCAACCTCTGAGTTCCCGTGATAACTGAAAGGGTAACGTATAGGTCTGCTGATCTTTGGGACACGTTATGGGTCTAGGTTCGAATTCCTGTACTGGGAGCCAGCCGTCTGATGGAATGCGAAATAAAGATACCAAACTTAAAGCTCGAAACATATAGGGTCAACTTTTGATCTCTTGTTGTGCACCGAGCACATTATAGGTGGTCAGAATGGTCTGAGAATTCGTAAGAGAGGAATGCACATTTAGATTCCTAGCCTTTTAAATAAATACGACAGTAGTTTGTTCGGGGTCTTATCTGTTTTGAGCTGCAGTTCCCTCAGGTACTCGAATATCTCTATTTGGTTTACGCCCACATCATGAGTACTGAATTAGAAGGAATTTTCATGGAGCAACGGAGGATCCCATTGGCTGACAACGGCAAACATTTGTAGTTCGACGGATATGTAGGTTCGAAGAAAGCAGGAAGTATTTGTACTTTTTTGCGACCATTCGTAGATCACGTCCGAGGGCCTAATCTTCCTATTTTACGCGTTTTGCACTGTTATTCCTTTACGAAGACATCTGTGAATCGCTTTGTTGGTTTACAATACTATGCTCTCTGATCACTCGTTGTCTTTCGGTGACTCTGATTATTTTTTTATAAGCACGCGATCTTTCGCTGATTATATTCTTTTCCTGCATAAACGTAGCAGAGATAAATGTTAATTACCCTACTCTCCGCTTTTGTGAAACGTTCTTAACTAGTCAGGTTAAGTTTTCATACGTACTATTTAAATTCTTAGTAGTCTTTAAATATATTTTCCAGTTTATTTGGTCCAGATTAAATTTTAGTGCAGCATAATTTCCTTTTACATAGTCGAGCCTTTGACGATAATTCTGCTCATCATGTATAAGGCCGGATATGCAGGTCCTCACCACAGAGTGGTCCAAGCCGACGGAATTGAGAAGCATCTTAACGTCTGACATTGAATAGTGTTTACTTGGGACAATATCGAAAAAGCATGTCGTATCTGTGGTGCGTCGGTAGTTATTCGTGTCAAATTGTACCAGACGCATGATCGACATAGAAGTTAAGAAATATCGTTTTCTTGGATTCCGCTGCACTTAATCCTTGTATGCTTAGCGTGTACCAGCTGATACGCGACAGCTTTAAATCAACTGATTTTATTATTGTTTCTAGTTCTTCGATTGGTACCAGCATGCGGTGTACAAAGTCGTTAGCTGTGCTTGTGGCCGATATATAGAGCTACATCACTGTATGTAGGAGTTTAATGCTATAAGTAATAATTTCTTCTAATAAAAACGTTCTTATTTCAATTTCGGAAAGCGATCTTTCATTTTTACAAATTAAACAACTCCTGCACTTCGTGATATCCTATATTTCCGAAATACTTCGAAGGAGCTACTACAGTTTAACCCAGCTTAAGTTTTCTGTCTTTCGGGAAGTCACTTTCGGAAAGTTTTTTTTTTGCTGAAGCGACGTCTACTTTTTTCAACTCTGAGACTGATGGAGAATGTCTATAATTCCACTCTTACGATGCAAAGGCAACCTTTTAAGGAAATTTAATTCAATATACTATGCTCTCAGTTTAGCCTTTAGTCATGTTCAACATAAGTGTGTAATGCCTTTTTACGCGCCACCTTTCAGCATGCAAACGTTCTGTAATTAATGCCGCGTTTCAGTCATTACAATACCAATATGCGTTATAATTATTCAGACAGAAGTCTATTGTGTGGACACAAGATTGTCGCGTGCATTTAGCTCTTTAACCCTAAATCAGTTAAGTCAGGATAACGATGCATTGCAGTCTATGGAATACGCCACATAAAGTAGTTCGTGAACGACCAGCTTTGCGGGTTTTTTCCAAATAAGTTTACTTACACGCCAGTAAAGGGTCGCTCACTAAACCAAAGCGACTATTCCTTAACACCGAATGGTCGTTTACCGTTTATCAATAGACGTAACACGTAGTGGACCTCTTGAATGCAGAAGTGCCGTTAGGTACGAATAACGTTTATGTTTGCGAAGTCTGTTTTTAGACCTAAATTATCGACATACAGGGCAGTCTGTGTCTTAAATTTACAAACATTTTTAAACTCGTAATCGCGTGGTCAAGAGTCAGTTCACACATGACGAATATATGATACTTGAATCTGTATAACGTGTACGTTTCACATTAAGACGCAGATACTCGTTAGAATGGTCGAAAACAGCTGCACTTGAGATCTGATCGCGTTAGCTCTTCAAGTGTAAAACCTTTGTTCACAGTTACCGTCCATGATATAATCTTTGATCCATTTGGACCTGAAGGTCGTCGCGTCTGTTTGTCAACATGTACTTCGTAACAGCTCCAGACAGGCCTATGCTGAAATTATGAAGTTCGGCCGATCAGCAAAAGTCGCCGACGCAAACAAGGCCAACCAGCCCTATTTGCAAATAATTTGATTTTTGGCTACAGCGGTAATCTTTCTTTACGTATAACAATGAGTCAGTTTTATTTAACATGTAAGTAGTAAGGATCATAGTATAGTGGTAGTACTGCGCATTATTTAGGTAAACTCACCCATATTATTTAAATATTTTTATTGTCATTATACGAAACGCGCGTGAGCCGAGATAATGTGGTTTTCACTTAAAGCACGCCAATTATAGCGTTTACGTTTCTGCCAGTTTATGAAATACGAAGATATCTAAAGCTTGGTGTAGTCTAGTTCTTAGAAAACGGAGCTGTCTAATTTTTCTGGATTTCGACTGTCTATGCTGGATCCGGCACTGGCGTAAAGGCTAGTCGACTACGACCGCCAAGCGGACTTCAGTCACAAACAGACTTAAATGGAATAGTGACCTGTTCCCCATGACCTAAGTAGAATTCGAACGTTGGCACCAATATCGCCATTAAAAAAGTTTATAACATATAAGCATCTGTTGTGGCTTATGTAGGAATGGCTTTCTACCTGACTTCGCACGAAAGCAAACGGGCAAGTTCGCAGTATTAGTTTTAAACTTCCCGACCGAATCCAATCAAAAAACATTTTTACTTTGAGAATACAGATTATGCAAACGACTTAAGCAACAGAATTTTCTTCCCTAATTAGAAATTAGATAATATATTTTTCATTGCAGTTGCTCTTAAACCATAGTCCATACCGACTATGGTTTATTCAGCATAGCCCACCAAATGGAAATAACGAAATGCCTCAGATTACTAGCTTGTCAATTTCAGCTTGCTTACAGAGCGGCTCCAGTCGGGATAAGCTTGGGCAAAAGTGAAAGCTATCATGTCATGACGTCACAGCCCAAACTAATTACACGATAACCTTGGTAAGAAATGCGCGTTTCCCGAAACCTAGTGTCGAGACAATTCCAGTTTAGTTACAAGTTACGATTAGATACAAGCTCAATAAAAAGACATAATCAAAATATAAAATGTTTTTTTTCCATTCTTTAAAATAGGACTGATTTTTTTTTATTTGATATTGTTTTCGATTGGATGTCCTTGCTTTCCCTTATGCCGGAGTCGTCAGCGATGAGTAATAGGCAAAAAAAACATATTTGTGACTCAAGTTAATATGAGAAACTCTGTTTTTAGGCGCGATTAAAATTTCATTGTGGGTCCGTTCTGAGAACCACTAATGGCACTAAAGCTAAAAAGCGATACAAATTTACGTATGACCCAAAGCCAGCCTAAATTCATTCTAGTTGACCCATGCTTAAGTTAAAGGCAAGAACTGAGATTATAATTATAGAATCTTAACAAAGCTGGACTGCATCGCTGGGTAAGTGATTTGCAGATTTGCCAATATGTTCCGTTTTCACAGAATTTGACTCAGAAAAACCTAGTATCGCCCTGCTATCCTGGCATAGTTAGGTATGCGACAATATTGCAAAGTCATCTACGTTTTACAGTTAAAGAGCAGTTTTCTAATTGATCATCAGGTACAGAATTTTTTTTTCGTAGTTTGGAAGCCAACCAAACAGTGAAGCGATGTAAGCAGTACAAAATCGGAGGTAGCAGCTTTGAACCCGCAAAGCGCTATGCCTTTAATAGCCGCGGACTAGAATTGATTAATTCTGAATGACTGGAAACTTAAGACGACTTACCATTGCTGCGTCTCTTATTTTCGTGATGATGTCCGGACTGGCACTCTTGTCCTGGTCATGATCGACCGCTGTCGCCCCCACAACGCCTGCGGTGCTCAACACGACTCCCCATAGTGCTACCCAAACGAATACGGAATGACTAAAGGAGTACGGCGTCACAATAGTGCGGCATCGGGTCGTTGTCCGTCTTCGCTGATCTAGCAGCAGTTCACATTGCGTCACATCCACTCTTGGTGACGATGATGAAGCCATTGTGAAGATTCGTGTCATTCGCACAGTTAGTCGAGATTTCACAATCAAATTGTCGCGTGACAACGCCAGCGACGGACACATTTCATCCTGTAAAGGACCTAGCCAGCCAATGATCCATTGTTTCACTAAAAATCATTGATTAAGCAGCCTGTTGTCTTATAAAGTTAACGAGACATCTTCGATGATAGTTGCAGAGAGTCCTGCAGTGTCTTTGGTACTGGCAGATCTGTCGACTTCCGATAATTCGCAGGTGGTGACGAATCCGTCGAGATACATCTGCTTGTGCTGGATTGTCCTCCAACTCGTAAACTGTTGGAAGATTGGGAGGGTTCCCGACGGCTTTGAAACCATCGCGAGACATGGTCAGTACAAAAGCGATTAACGAGCTGAGTGCTCTCGATACATCGCAGGATAGAAATCCAAAATCTGCGTTTCGTTACGACAAACATAGAGCTCGCCACGCAAAATAGGCTGAATACATTGGTAATGTACAAGCTTCTTCACACAATTGTATTTCTGAGAGAACCTGAAACAGATATAGAAAGAGCATAAGCATTTGTTAATAGAAAATACTCATAGCATACTTGTAATTTATTGGTACGATGACTTAGTGCTATTTTGAAAATATGCAAAACTCACTGAAATGCACCGAATGAATATTATCTGTTATTAGAAGCTCCGTCATTGTCTCACAGAGTCAGACTTGACTGTCAGATTCGTGATTGTATATATGACAACTGAATTGAAGGACATGAATATATATATGACGAGAAAGACCGAAATCAATGCACTTGCTTATGGCCACACGAAGTCCTATGAGGCCTAAGTGTAGTCAGTTTTGTTGGCTAGCTATTATTATATGCTAGGATTATTACGCTCTCTATCAGACTATGGATAAGAAATCATTAGATCTTGGGGAAAACTATTAACGAATTCAGAGCAAGTGATTGAAACCAAAAAAAAAAACTTAGCAAATGTAAATTTTGCTTACATAAACAGAGCTTGATGTCCAGCTAATGTTTAGCATACCATGCACAAGGAAGTCAAATTGGTCCTCCGCCATTTGAAAGCTTGGCAGCATTAGTAGGCGACTATATGAGAACTTTTGCCGTTTAAGCCACCATACTGGTCGGGCCTACGTGCGTTTACAGATAAAGGCTGTATGCGCATGTGTGGCATGCCAAATTGTTGTTTGCTCTTTAGAAACCGGCCATAAGATATAGTGACGTTAACATAATAAACACCTAGCATTATCATTATATACTACAAAAAAGATCAAATTTTTTCTATGGAAATTATGTTTTTTGTGCGTACTCCAAATATTCCGCTAGATTATAATTAATGCGGCGACTTTGTTTTTCGGCCTGACTTAATCAAGGCGTTTTTCATAAAACAGAGTGAAAAACAATTGCGTTTGTGTACTGATGGGATGACTCAAGTCCCACAAAAAAAAAAAAAAAGAAATCAAGTTAACACTATACAGCTAAACTGTATAAAAATCTTGAGACGTAGACACGTATGAATGCCAAGAGCTGCCATTATATGAATAATATATTGTGAATATTATGATGCGCATTACCTTGAGGGTGTAATACTTTACGAGTCGGCGATGTACTGACATACCGTTGGTAAGATCTTAAGGAAGCAAATGACGAGGAGGAATCACTCATCTTCGGCTGGGGACCGAAGGTGGCCATTTATACTGGTGAGCTTGTATTCTCCAAGTACGGTTTAATCTTAGTGATTTTCTAAGGTACTTACGGCATATAAAAGCCCATACATATGACCTAGGGTGTACAAGAAGCTTTGGCCCCCAATAAGCAGGTTGAACCAGGCAAACTAAGCAAACCTGCACTACATCTACCATCATATGGTCATGTAAGTCATATAACTGGCATAGTCAATGCAAATTGAAATCGGATCTGTATCCTAAGTTTTAAATTAAATAATGTCTGCGGAGCTGAATCTGCCGCGTCATTATGCCGCATTCTTCGGCTGACTTTTAACTCAGAAAGAAGAGCGAATTTGCGTGAGTTGGCACAATTCAACTGATTATGCGACTGGCGAAAAACACAACTAACTCATCGACACCCCGCCTTAGTAAGATCATATGTATATATATATATACGTCTCGAGCAAAGCTTAGGAAATACCTATATACTAGCGCGTCACATGATAGCTAGAACTACGCTCGGTACGTCTGTTTATAACCAGAGGTGGACATTTTAAATGTAAATAAATGTATTTTTCGTTCTACAAAGGCGTCGCTCTATTCGTGAAGGCAGATTAGTAACCCGAGGGAACGATCATAAGAATACGCAGTGCAAATGGGCAAGGCCTGTACGATTCGCTGGCTACACTCTATAGACTCGTAAAGGATAAGGAATCAACCTGGCCTTCAAGCTGAGTTTGTACGTATTAAATCGTTTCCATTAGAACCCAATGAGATTAATTGAAATTCTTTCTGAAGCAAGTCACACGGGAAGCCATTTCATCGAAAGCCGTCGGGGCAACGTGAGAATAAAAATCTATTTTCTTGGAGCTCATTTCCTTGCATATCTGTATCTTTTAGTAGGAAATACACAATTTACTGATCCTGAAACACGATTACGATTGGTGGTACATTTTTATATTATTAGTACTAAATGTAACGAGTTCTTTTTTATTGAAGGTGTAACGACGTACAGCATCGAATGTTTGTACATAGGCCGGCTGCTGACTCTAGTTCTAAACCCTTATATATAAAAGGTAATGTTACAATGATTATAACCCGTGTAACTTATATATACACAAGCGTTATGGAAACATCCCTTGCTGTTGTGAAAGTGGTGACACTTTAATATAAAGTGTGTTTAATATAATGTGAGTTGACTCTGCAGCGATTAATTATCTAACACTATGAAGTGAACCACTGCAACATAAGTTAGCAGTAAATATCTACAAGCCATCAGAAGGGTTCTTGTCTTGGTTGTACGATGATATAGAGCCTGCCTGTAGAGCTTCCGCAGGGCTCGTCCACCATTGCCCGTAAAAATTTGCCAACGATGAATGCAAGCACTGAATGAACTGATCGTGTAGTTGGCTCCGATATGGCAAAGCAGAATTAAATTAAGCCTTGACGTAATACGCAATAGAAGAGAAGCCCTCACACGCCGCTAACAGATCGCAGGCGGTAGGGCAACCGAAGATTAACAAGGGGCTAAAACAATGTGAGGTCGAAAAGACGAGAAGCCGCGTAGTGCATCCCGTAGAATTAAGTATAGTTGACCCCACACAATTGCAAAGACAAAAATTACAATCTGCAGAAGAAATTCTGTGAAGCCACGGAGAAACTTCATCCTTACTAAGTTATTTTATGACGTTCAAGAAAAACTTATGTCAATCTAGCGGTTACAGTCCATTCAGAGGACGTTCTTCTTCTTCTTCTTAAAAAGTCGATATCGACCAATGTGCGAATTTTCACAAGCGAGCTAGTTTGCGCTCCTATAGGTGCAGCGTCTCTGCTTTAAGGGTTACACAACTTTCTGGTTAGATTTGTCAAGATAGATCGAGCTTAATGTCATGCACAAATTTGCATGGCATTCGAGCTTTGTATAAAAAATTTAAGGTAATGCAGGGAAAGTTTAAGATTTGTCTTTCACAGGGCTGTCAAAAGACACATAATTACTTGTGAGTCACAGGGTTACGCTTATTTTTTATGGTTTCATTGCAATAGCGCTTATTTGCTTTTTGACCGTTGTGTTTCAGTGACCGCCAAGAACATGTAATAAGATTTGCGGTGTTATTTTCAATGCTTCTTAACAAGGAATCAATTCTTGTGTTTTGCGTGATTCACACGGTTCCGCCTTGTCTTGCTACAGTCAACCATTTGGATGGGCAGTTTTTCTGTACCTATCCAGCTCCAAATATTCAAGATCAACTGAGAAAAGAATGTGTATGTGTTGTATCATATTTGAGGGTTACTGCTGGAGTACACCGAAGCTTCAACATTTGGACTCCGCAATCATGCCTCCCAGGTTTTTAGTTGTGAGGCGCTTAATTAGTAAAGTTAGTTGACAAGTTTAATAACCAAGTCTGGGGCGCAATATCTACTTAATTTCTTCACGATAGAACCCATTCAATATGGGGGCTCCTGTGAGTAAAGCTGACCAATTGAACTGAAAATTTAATCCACTCAAAGTTGTATGCGGAAACAGCGTAACACTAAGCAGCATGCTGTTTGATAATTCAAGCATCCAGTTAGCTAGAAATATAACTCAGTAAAAAGTAAACAATATAAATTACGATTTTATTCAGGAAATTTTCGATCGTTTTTCGAAACCTCAATAACGCTGTATAAATGAGTAAGCATACGATTGTTGTTGTTTTAGTTTTCGTCGCTCAGGTTTATTTTTAGTGCATTGGTGACTCATCAATTGTGGAAGTTCCACCTTCTGCTTTGCTGTTTCTCGTAGCCTTCGCATGGCCTGACCTTCGTTCGACCGCATTATGCCAGACGGCCTCGGGAAATTTCCTTTAATCCATTGGTGCCTATCCTGGCACCCTACTCTGAGCTCTTCGCCCCATTGCTTTTTCGAACTAGCCGTTTTGTATAAGTGTGCTTCCCGTGTCCTCGTCCGGTATCTTGTACTGTAAATAGTGCGCATCGTTACGCCTTTAGTGTAGTGTATCTCAGTTCTTTGGTTTAACAACGACGATCTCCAACGTTGAAGTTTATTTGAACTCAAGCATATTGGTCATGCTTTTCGTAGTATCCCCACGAATAAATGTGCAACTATCTGAAGAGAATAAAATAACTATAGAGCTATTGACGTTCTGCATGCCCTCACCTATATTTTTAACACATCAAAATGTCCTTTTGGGACTCGATATCCACTTGAATTGATATTTTTCTCTAGCTAATTGTCTCTTATAGCAGCTAACGCTATTGAACCGCTTAAGCGCCACTGAAGGGTATAGATGAAAAAGATTGCGCTCTAAAACCCATTAGACCCTTTCGCAAGCTGAAACACCGTACAACCATAACTTATGGCATTCGATTAGTCACTTCGATAATAAGATATTTTTGTGTTTTCTATAGCGAATATTTTTTTTTAGAGAAATGAGTATTATTATATTCTAAAATAAAAGTATGTCTAGCGCTTCGATACCATGCTCATGTAATAAAATCTTAATAGTTTAGGGTTCAAAGCCATAAATCCACCGAACATTAAATTAGAGTAAACTCCTAAGAGCAACAACTTTGTCCACCAAGACGGAATGGCTCAGTGACCTTGGTGAGCTCAGGTACCTGGCCTTGTAACGACGATATAAGGAAGCTATTTTGAAACACGCAGTCAGGTTGCCCAATCTGGCGCCATTTCGTCGGTTCCAATGCTCAGTTCAGTAACTCTAGTTAACAGTCTTTTTCATACTGTTGTTACCTTATTCACAGTTACAGACGCAATAGTGGTCTAAGCAAAAGCAGGCCGTCCGCTAAGTTATGCACTGCGGAAAAAGTCGCTGGCGTTTTTGTTTTTGTGACCT